ACTATCAATAATCAGCTAACATTCCATTCCGTCTCTTGTACGAGAGGACGGCTGTTAGGAATTTAGCAACCTGCAGGCTAAGATAAGGATCCACATCTTGAAGAACCCAGGCAAGCTGTAGGTCTACTGGTTTGTCAGCCATAGGCTGGATTATGGAGTTTAGTATACTAGCACGAATTGAACTGTATATAGGGCGCTCCCCTGTGAGAACCTCCAAACAAGCTCAACACATGGGGCCCTTCGAGGCTTTGTCAGCCAGTGTTGGCTGATGTCCGCCACCTGTGCAGCAGACTTTCCCACCCCACGGAGCCGCGTGTTCTTTATGGTCAGCCTCTTCGTGGGCCCGGCACTTTCTCGGGTCTCTCCGTACCTTGAGGCCAGCGACCATCTGCTGGGGAATTTGGATGAATTGCCACCCTTCATTGCCACCCTGGAGGGCACGTTCGGGGAGCTGAATCGTGCCCTGGCGGCTGAGATGGCCCTGCAGAACCTCCGGCAGGGGGCTTGCCCAGTTACTGAGTCCGCCGCAGAGCTCCGTTGGTGGGCTGTGGACACCCTGCTATGCAGCTGCCTGACGGTTCCACTTCCATCAGGGCCTTCATCCCTGCCTTAAGGATCAACTGGCATGGGTGACCCCCCCTCACCATTTCAGTGGTGGGTCTGGAGGGGACCCCCCTCGCATCCGGACCCATTACCCGTGAGCCCTGTCCACAGGCCAGGTTAGTGGCACCCCTGCACCAGGAACTGTTAACGTTTCAACTAGTCCAGACGCCACATTTCCCTCTGGTCCATGGAAGTCCATGAATGTATCCTTTTGCCTTGACAGCTCAGGGAAGATATCTCACTTTATAAATCATATCAAATCAACTCCAGGAAGTGCCCAGAGGTGACAATTGCTGAGCTGATTATTGGAAAGCCTCATCCCATCCCCAGACTTGCCAAGGGGTCCAGACATGCAAAGGAAGTTCTGTTGTACTTTTGGGTGGTGGGTACTTGAGACTTCTTTGCCTATGCTAATCCTATCCTTGGGTCTTGCACTGACTCATTTTCCTTATGTTAATCTTGTGTAACCCTCCCCTTTCTGATGTTTTAGTGGTGTAGCAATGACATATTGATGATGTTGTACGAACTGCATTCTGGGATATGGTGGGAAGCTTTAAAAGTCAATGTCGCCCCATGGCTCTGGGTTCCCACGCTGCTGTTGAACCTGTTGCGCAACCAGAAAGGATCTCAGTCTACTGGCTGCTGTTTTGCTCCAAATTGCTTGGCGGGAATTTCCTTCTTTTACTGACCGCACGGACCCATGGGGGACTTGTGCCCAGACGAGCTGGGATCTTTTTGGTGATGCAATGTATTCCTTTTTTTCCTACACCTCTTTGCTAATAATCTGGAGCTTTCCCCTCCATACTCACAGAAGCGTTGTTTAGAGTATGGAATGTTGATCATTGTTTTGTTGATTTCTAGGGAATCTAGTTCTCTCCCTTTTTGTTCTATAGCTTTAAGGACTTTTTAAGATCCTGTTTGTTTGTAGCGTGATGAGAGGGCCGTGATGTCTTGTTCTGTCTTGCTAACTTTTAAGGGGGTTTGTTTTTTAAGGGATGCTTTTAGCAAATTGTAAGAGTCCCTAATTGTTGGGGGTTTCCTTCGGAGGAAGGTTGCCCATGGGGTTGTAGGGGGGGTGTCTTTCAGGGATATGCTTTTCATATTTAGGTTGAGGTCACCCCCCCCCCCCCAGAATTGCTTCCCCTTCGGAGGAGAGGAACTAGTTTTTTTGGATGAACTCTAGATGTTTCAAGTTTGGGGCATATATGGAGCCAATTGTCAGTTTAGTTTTGCCATCTAGTGTCCCTTTAGCAAAAATGAGTCTGCCTCTTTTGTCTTTGAGGACTGTTGTGGCTTTGAAGTTCAGGACTCTACTGAGTATTATGGCTACTCCACAGGACTTTGCTGAGCCAGATGACTGAAGCAGGGATCGCTCAGGAGTTTGGGAGGGTTGTGTATTTATTGTAGGAAGGCGATGTGTGGTTTCATGGTGTTTACATACAAGGTGATGCATTTTCTTTTGATGGGGTTTCCCAACCCCCTCACATTTAATGCAATTGCTTTTAAGCTAGCCATCTTGCTTATCTACTATATAGGGTGATTCCATGCCAGCCCGTCCGGGTTGCCCTGTGTCTCTCACCTTGTATTGTCTATCAAACCAGTGAAATTGCGCTGACCTAGAGGTTAAAATTAGATTTGGGTTAAAGAGTGGGGGGTGGGTTGCAGAAATTATCCCCTATGTAGTCATATAGGTGTTTATTGTGGCTAGATGATGCCGCATTCTGGATTAGTTGTAGTTTCCGGGTCAGCTTCAAAGATAGCCCCACCCAGAGCGCATTGCAGTAGTCCAAGCGGAAGATAACCAGAGCATGCACCACTCTGGCGAGGCAGTCCATGGGCAGGTAGGGTCTCAGCCTGCGTACCAGGTGGAGTTGGTAGACAGCTGCCCTGGACACAGATTTGACCTGTGCCTCCATGGACAGCTGAGAGTCCAAAATGACTCCCAGGCTGCGCACCTGGTCCTTCAGGGGCACAGTTACCCCATTCAGGACCAGGGAGTCCTCCACACCTGCCCGCCTCCTGTCCCCCAGAAACAGTACTTCTGTCTTGACAGGATTCAACCTCAATCTGTTGGCCGCCATCCATCCTCCAACCATCTTTGTGATGCCTATGTTGGATATTTTGGGGAAATTAATCCTGCGTCCAGTCAGGCTTCCCCAGCGCAGCTCTGCTTGGGGCTTGAGGCCGACCTGAGCAGGAAGAGCAGAGTCACAGCGGTCCTGCCGTCCGTGTGAGATAGAGGGATAAATCAAGTCCAGAGACAGTTCGTTCTTATCTCTAGAAGCGTTTATTTACAAGCCATAAATCAGTCACATTCCATTGGAGCTTTCCGGCATCTTTCCCGTGCTCCAAAAGCACACACGCAGCCTCTGAGCTGAGCTGCGTCTCTCAGTCTCAGTCAGAAGTGAAAGCAACTCTGAACAACGACACAGACAAAGACAGACAAAGCCTGTGACGTCCGGCCCTGCCGCAGGCCCCTCCCAGATACAGGACACCACAGAGTTTTAACCCTGTCAGTTCCAAACTCCACATAGGGTCCATAAGCAATGTTGCTAATGTCATTAACATCACTGGTAAGTTGGGGTAGGGATAAGGGTGTTGATATCCTCTGGCAGCCCCAATGTGCTGCTTGTTTGTCAGATTTTAGCCTGTCTGTGGATTGTTTTATTGAGGTTAGGGTGAAGCAGGACCACCTGGAGGAATTCAACCCTTATGCTTTTCATATAATCAGTTAGCCATATAACCATATATCCTTATAATGATTTTTATATAATCCATGTTTGAATCATGACGGCTTCTGCAAAAGCTTATAGCAAATTGCTTAGATCGGAAGAATCCGAAATGAACTCTGCCCCAGTTCGCTTCCCTTGTTCTTCTCAATGTCTCGCTAACATAAGGGGGAAGCAATAAATCTGCTGTGCTGGCACTTTCCCCCCTGTCCAGACAGGGTCCCGAGTAGCTCAAACAGGAAGATGCTAACCGCAGAATGTCCCGGTATAGCAGATGGCTGCGTAGGAGCGTAAGGGCCGAAGTTCATGTATGTACTCAGGTATAAAGCCTCAGGGCGCTGAAGCCCGGGGCCCAGTCTTTGGGAAAGGATTCCACTGGGTCTCTTATTGCTCAGCAATAAATATCACTTTCTTTTTCCCCACTGCTGCGTCTGTCAATTCTGGGACACAATTTGAGTGGCTCACTGGTACCTTAAAAATCCTGGCAACAAGGGGAATTATTTTACTTAGTAAGGCGTGGGGAGGGGTGCTGAGAGTGAGTTGTAGATTGTTGGGTAATGGGGAGTGTCTTTTTATGTACCTGGACTGGTGTTGGGTGGGGATCTCTGTGGAGGTGTGAGGCTGGGGGGAATATTGATCGTGTTAGCTGTATTGATGGCTTGGGGGAGAGGAAAAGGAGGAGGGGGTCACCAGTCCATCGGGTTGAGGTGATTTCTGGTTGCTTCATTCTGCCTTCTGCCACATTGGCCTCCGCTTCCCGTTTGGTGTCCTCCGCAAATGGGATGAGCACCCCCTCAGTTCCTTCATCCAAGTCGTTCATAAAGAGGTTGAACAACAACGGGCCCAGGACAGAACCCTGCAGCACCCCTCTTGTCACTTTTCCCCAGGATGATGAGGAACCATGGAGGAGGACTGTTTGGGTTCGGTCAGTCAAATCCACCTAAGAGTTTCCTCATTCAGACCACATTTTAGAAGCTTAATCACAAAAATATTATGGGGGACTTCGTCAAAAGCCTTACTGAAATCAAGATGCACTATTTCCACAGCTGTTCCCTGATCAACAAAGTTTGTAACTCCATCCAAAAAAAGGGGAAGAGAGATTTCTCTGGCTTTTCTTGTTTTTGAGAAAGCCATGCTTTTATCCTGTATGTTTCTGTTGTGAAATCTTCAGATGAAAGACATATAAATATTAAAAATGATAAAAAATAAAGATATTGACAGGCTGAAACATGTGCAAAGGAAGGTGATTTATGTATTTATTTAATTTGTCTACCACCCGACCCAGGGGTGCCAACTTGAATAAATATTGGTGGGGGGCCAGGTAAGGCCTGCTTTGCACAACCAAACACATGACGCATGCAGGCCATTGGAATAGCAATGCCTATCAACTGGGGGAGTGGCCCCCTCAAATATATCATTGGGGGGCAAAACCCCCTCAGCCTCTAAGTGTAGACTCCTGTTCCCACATGTCTCAGGACGGTTACAACACAAAAACACAAAATACACATGATAACTCAACTCCCCACCACATTTTAAAAGGGCCTTAGATGTCAATCAGCCAAAGGCCTGGTTAAAAAGGTGCATATTAACAAGGCTCCTAAAGCTATAGAATGAAGGGTTTCTCCCCTGTATGACGTTTCTGATGCTTAGTGACAGCAGAGCTGTGACTGAAGCTCTTTCCACATTCAAAGCACTGATAGGGTTTCTCCCCTGTATGAATTCTCTGATGGGAACTGAGATTGGAGCTGTGACTGAAGCTCTTTCCACATTCCCCACACTGATAGGGTTTCTCCCTTGTATGAATTCTCTGATGGGAAGTGAGATTGGAGTTCTTATTGAAGCTCTTTCCACATTCCCCACACTGATAGGGTTTCTCCCCTGTATGAATTCTCTGATGGGAAGTGAGATCCGAGCTCTGCCTGAAGCTCTTTCCACATTCCCCACACTGATAGGGTTTCTCCCCTGTATGAATTCTCTGATGCTTAGTGAGATCAGAGCTCACCCAGAAGCTCTTTTCACATTCCCCACACTGATAGGGTTTCTCTCCTGTATGAATTCTCTGATGGGAAGTGAGACTGGAGCTTGTAATGAATTGCTTTCCACATTCCCCACACTGATAGGGTTTCTCCCCTGTATGAATTCTCTGATGGGAAGTGAGACTGGAGCTTGTAATGAATTTCTTTCCACATTCCACACAATGATAGGGTTTCTCCCCTGTATGAATTCTCTGATGGGAAGTGAGATCCGAGCTCTGCCTGAAGCTCTTTCCACATTCCCCACACTGATAGGGTTTCTCTCCTGTATGATTTCTCTGATGGGAAGTGAGTTCCCAGCTCTTGCTGAATTTCTTTCCACATTCCCCACACTGATAGGGTTTCTCCCCTGTATGAATTCTCTGATGGGAAGTGAGACTGGAGCTTGTAATGAATTTCTTTCCACATTCCCCACACTGATAGGGTTTCTCCCCTGTATGAATTCTCTGATGGGAAGTGAGATCCGAGCTCTGCCTGAAGCTCTTTCCACATTCCCCACACTGATAGGGTTTCTCCCCTGTATGAATTCTCTGATGGGAACTGAGATTGGAGCTCTGACTGAAGCTCTTTCCACATTCCCCACACTGATAGGGTTTCTCCCCTGTATGAATTCTCTGATGGGAAGTGAAATCCGAGCTCTGCCTGAAGCTCTTTCCACATTCCCCACACTGATAGGGTTTCTCCCCTGTATGAATTCTCTGATGGGAAGTGAGTTCCCAGCTCTTGCTGAATTTCTTTCCACATTCCCCACACTGATAGGGTTTCTCTCCTGTATGAATTCTCTGATGGGAAGTGAGACTGGAGCTTGTAATGAATTTCTTTCCACATTCCCCACACTGATAGGGTTTCTCCCCTGTATGAATTCTCTGATGGGAAGTGAGATCCGAGCTGTGCCTGAAGCTCTTTCCACATTCCCCACACTGATAGGGTTTCTCCCCTGTATGAATTCTCTGATGGGAAGTGAGACTGGAGCTTGTAATGAATTTCTTTCCACATTCCCCACACTGATAGGGTTTCTCCCCTGTATGAATTCTCTGATGGGAAGTGAGACTGGAGCTTGTAATGAATTTCTTTCCACATTCCCCACACTGATAGGGTTTCTCACCTGTATGAATTCTCTGATGGTAAGTGAGATGGGAGCTCCAACTGAAGCTCTTCCCACATTCCACACACTGATAGGGTTTGTCTCCTGTATGAATTCTCTGATGCTTAGTGAGATTGGAGCTCTGAGTGCGGCTGTCTCCACACTCCAAATTTGTCCATGGCTTCTCCTCTCTGGGGATTTTCTCTTGTTCAGCCTTGTTCTCGATCTGCAATTCATCACAATCTGCAGCGGAGACAAAAAGGGATTAGATCCTCAGGAACAAATGAAGAAGAACTGAAGGGAGTTGGGTGCTTGTTCATTACCTTTGTTGTTTGTCATTAACCAACATATTTATTATTAGATTCTGATGGGTTGTTGAATGTTGCTTTCTTTGATATACTGTAGTGGTAAAATTGTGAAAGCCTTTTAGAAAAAAGTGCATTTCAGATGTTTGATGGCTCATAACACCACTTCTTTTGGAGGACAGTGGATGCTCGGGTTGCAAACATGATCCGTGTGGGAGACATGTTCACAACCCGCAGCGTTCGCAACCTGCAGCGTTGCATCTGCGCATGCGTGGGTCGTAATTTGGTGGTTCTGCGCATGTGCAAGCACTGAAACCTGGAAGTAAGCCATTCCGGTACTTCCAGGTTCGGCGTAGTGCACAACCTGAAAACACGCAACCTTAAGCAACTGTAACCCGAGGTATGACTGTAATACCATAATATTATATAGCAATGGAAAGATAATTTAATCAAGAATGTAGTGTGTCACAGTAAATGGGGTTGCTTGTGTGTAAATCTCCAGCCGTTCCAAACTGCTTAGGGGTGGTTGTGTCTTTCCCTGACTGAGCAGCCTTGCCGCTGCTGCTCAGTCACTAGCAGAATCCGTGAGTGGGCGTCTCCTAAATTTCCTCCAGCATAAGAATTCCTTAACGGACAACCTTCGCCTCGCCTCTCTGCGCGGAAGCCTTCCCTCCCCTTCCCCTGGGAAAGCCCTGGGGTGACACCCGTAATTCGCCATAAACGGACTCATCCCTGTGGACACATGTTCTGCGTTATTGTATGCAAACTCAGCCAGTGCTAATTTGTCCACCCAATCATTCTCCCTCTCGTTGACGTAGCAGCGTAGATATTGTTGAAGAATGCTGTTAGCTCTCTCTGCTTGTCCGTTGGTTTCGGGATGTCTGGCCGTTGAGAAACTAACCTTGACGTCCAGCAGACTCATAAGCTTCCTCCAGAATCTGGACGTAAATTGCCGGCCTCTGTCGGATAAAATCCTCAAGGGGGTGCCATGCAACCTGAAAACATGCTCTACAAACAGCTTTGCTGTTTCTTCTGCAGTCACCGCATGCGAGCACGCAATGAAATGGCACATTTTGGTCATCAAGTCAACTACCACCATTACTGCCGTTTCCCCCCTCGCTTTGGGTAAATCTGTCATAAAATCAATTGATACCACCTCCCATGGCCTCTCTGGTGTCGGTAAGGGCTCCAGTAACCCCGCAGGTGCTGTCCTCTCCCCCTTCGCTCTCTGGCAGCACTGGCACCCGCGTACATACTCCTTCACATCTTCCCTCACCCGTGGCCACCAAAACTGCCTGGTGACCAGTAACATTGTCTTATGTTGGCCAAAATGTCCCGTCGTGGGGTTGTCATGCAGTTGTTTGAGTATTCTGCTCCTCAAATTCCCCTCAGGTATGTACAAAGCACCCTTATAGTACAATGCCCCGTCCTTTACTTCAACCCCCCCCCCGAGTTTCCCCAGTAATACCAATTTCCCTGATCTTGGTTTGTGCATACTGATCATCCCTTGTCAACCCGGCCAGCTCTTGCCTCCCTACGAACACTCCCCCACACACCCATTTGTCCTCGGGTATGACATAACGCGCTTCTGGCCCTCCCTCCCCTTCCTCGTATTCGGGCTTGCGGGAGAGGGCGTCTGCTCTGACATTTTCCTTCCCAGGCACGTACCTAATCTCAAAATTAAACTTGGAAAACTCCTGTGCCCACCGCACCTGTCGTTGGTTCAGCACTCTCGCCGTTCTCCAATATTCCAGGTTCTTGTGGTCAGTACACACCTGGACTTTGTGCTGTGCGCCTATGAGAAAATGTCTCCATCGTCGAAAGGCCTCGTGAATTGCCAGCAGTTCCCGATCGTACACCGTATAGTTTTGCTCTGACTTGTTCAGCTTCCTGGAAAAGAAGGCACACGGCTTCCACTCCCCATTTCCCTGCTGGAGCAATATGCCTCCTACAGCTCTGTCTGACGCATACGTCTCTAGCCTCATCGGCTTCCGCAAATCCACATGTAGGAGCTGCTCTTCCGACGCGAAAGCCCTCTTAAGCTTCTCAAAGGAACGCTGGGCCTCTTCCGTCCATTCGAACTTCTTCTTGCTGCTGAGACAATCCGTTATGGGTGCCGTTAGATGGGCGAAGTTCTTGATGAACTTCCTGTAGAAATTTGCAAACCCCAAGAACCTCTGCACGTCCTTCCTGTTCTTGGGAGGCTTCCATTCTAGCACAGCCTGCACCTTGCCTGGGTCCATTGCCAGACCTTTGTCTGACAACCTGTAGCCCAGGAACTCCACCTCTCGGGCATGGAATTGGCATTTCTCCAGTTTGACCCACAGCTGATACTCCTGCAGCCTTTTCAGCACTTCCCTGACATCTTTCACATGCTGCTCCTCGTTCTCTGAGTAGATAAGCACGTTGTCCAGGAAGGCCACACAATTCTTGTAGAGCAGGGACCCCAGCACGTGGTGCATGAATGCTTGAAATGTGCTGGATCCCGATTGTAATCCGAAGGGCATAACGAGATACTCAAAGGCTCCCAGAGGGGTGAACATCGTGGTTTTCCATTCATCCCCCTCCCTCATCCTTATCAAATTGTACGCCCCTCAAAGGTCCAACTTGGTAAAAACCTTCCCTTTCCTTACCCTGGCCAAAATGTCATCAATCCTGGGCATTGGGAAGGTCACCGGTTCCGATACCCGGTTGACGGACCTGTAATCTACGACTAAGCGTGGTTCTTTGGAGTCTCTCTTGTCCACAAAGAACACTGGACTGCCCCCCACCGCCCTTGATTCACGTATAAAGCCCCTCTTGTCAATGAACTTCTGCAACTCCTGCATCTCCCTGTCTGACATGGCGTACAGCTTACCCACTGGCAGCTGAGCCCCTGGGAGTAGGTTGATCTGATAGTCAAAGGGCCGGTGAGGGGGTAGTCTATCCGCCTCTCTCTCGCTGAAGACTTCTTCCAGGTCTGCATACTGAGGTGGTACCCTCCCCTTTTCTCCCACCGCCATCCCTGCCACCCTGGCTACTGCCACCCTCAGGGTTTCCCCTTCTTGGCAGTGCTCTACGCAGTGAGCTGACCCAAAGGTGACTGTCCGCTGGTGCCACCCTACTACTGGGTCGTGCAGTGCCAGCCAACTCATTCCCAGTAAGATAGGTGGTCCTGCTAAGGTGGCTACGTGAAAGGCAATTGTCTCAGTGTATCTGGAAACTGTCATTTTCATGGGCGGGGTCTGGTGGGTCACTTCCCCTCCCAAAAGTTCTCTCCCATCAATCGTGGTTACTTGCAGTGGATGTTCTAGGGGCACCACCTGTAGCTGGTGTTCTAGCACAAAATCCTTGCTAAAGAAGTTGCAAGAGCTGCCTGAATCCAGCAGCGCCTTCACTTTGATGGGGTGTCCGTTTGGGAGTTCTAGCACCACCTCTATGGCGATGGCTGCTCGGGGAGGGTCTGGTTTGGGCACTTCTACTGGTTGCTCGCCTGGCTGCTGTGCCCTCCTTCCTGCAGCCAAGCACGGCCGTTTCCCGGCACCTCCTTCTTTTCCTCCTCACTCCCCACTGCCCCCACCATTCCTTGCCACGCCTTCTTCTGAGGGCATGCTCTGGCAAAATGTCCCGGCTGCTGGCATAGGAAACACCTCTTGCTGGTTTTCCCCTCCTTCTTACGCACCTTGCTGGAGTTTGAAAACCCGCGCGCACTCGCTCCTCCAATCTCCATTGGCTCCTCGGGCGGCACAGTAGACGCTGGCATGTCTGGAATGCGGTTGTCATGCCAACGCTCTGCTCTCCCTTCCCGCCTTTCCACCGAGCGCGTCTCTTGTCGGACTCCTACAGCGAGCGCCAACTTGGTCAGCTGGTCCATCGATTCCGGGCGGGGTGAGCGGGAAAGTTCGTCTCTCACCCAAGAGGATAAAACCTCCTCAAATAACATTTGTACTGGTTGAGAACTCAGATCCCACCCAAGTTTATGGATCAGCATAGCAAATCTCGACCAGTACTCTCTCACTGACTGGTTTCCTTGCTTGCACCCCATCAGTTCTTTACGAGTCACACTCTCTTCAACATCGCTCGAGAACATGTGATCCATCGCGCTAAAAAACTTTCTCAAGTCCTTCAGAGCCGCGTTCTCCGCCGCCATTAAGGGTCGGACCCAATCTCTGGCCCTCCCCTGCAGGTGCCCCACCACGAAAGCGACTCTTCCCCCATCGTCGGCAAAGTCATCGTGCTGCAGATCCAGCGCATACTGCACTTCTGTCTTAAAAGCGTTATAATCCCTGGGGTTGCCCCCAAACGTCTGCACAAGTCCCGGTACCTTTCTTGCGATGGGGGTAATCTTCCCCTGGGCGTCATGTGTCCTCCTTTCATCCAGCCGCGCCGCTAGTAGAGCCAGTTGCTGCTCCAAGTCTCGGTTTCTCTCCTCCAGACTCTGTCCGCCTTTGGCCCCCTCTCCTGCGCCGGCTCCTCCGGTTTGACTCATGACTGTACCCCGGTCCTCTTGCACACAAGCAACGTAAAGGACTCACGGATTGCTGTCATGGGAAATGGGGTTGCTTGTGTGTAAATCTCCAGTTGTTCCAAACTGCTTAGGGGTAGTTGTGTCTTTCCCTGACTGAGCAGCCCTTTGCGCTGCTGCTCAGTCGCTAGCAGAATCCGTGAGTGGGCGTCTCCTAAATTTCCTCCAGCATAAGAGTTCCTTAACGGACAACCTTCGCCTCGCCTCTCTGCGCGGAAGCCTTCTGCGCAGAGTGGGCGTGCCGAGTGGTGGTCCTCCACCCTCCTCACTGACTTCACTGGAAGAGTCTCGGAGCCTCCCCTCC